GTGCATTATATCTGCTACCTACCCAAATCCAAAACATAAAACGCAAACCCTTTGCTGCCAAGTCAATCTTGAGTTACAGCCCCCATATAGGGCAGAATAGAACTGCCCATAGTATTCCTGTCTGTAATCTTTATAGGAGCAGGCTGCCACACCTTTCTCCCTAGGTACAACTAGTGGATTAGAATCATTTCTCTTATGATTAGCAACTAAGTGCTAAATCACAGTCCTACCCGGGCGCCTCTGGCCCAATCTATTGATGTTTAACGGAAGACAATGGCTGAACAAATTGGATTAGATCCCAAACTGGTCTAACTTACGTAAAATGGACATTCAGCACATTGGATGTCAGTGTTTATTGCAGCAGGGATAGTGCGCAGAGACAGTTAATAGATCATGAAGTTGAACAAAAGTGTAAATTCAAGGTATTCATGACTGGCACTTAACAATTCTATTTTTGTTCAAGGGATTTAGAAAATTTAGGGTGATTTGGATGACATAGGAAGGAGTCCCCTGTTTTTTTCTTGTGGAAACCGACATATTCAATTTTTTACCATTGGTATTTATAATTACATGAGTGCTTTACATAATTATAATTATTATACTAATTATTATTATTGGATTATAAATCCATAAAACTGCATAAATACTTTGGTTGTAATACATTTCTTCCTGTAATAAAGCATTCCCTGGCTCTCCCATACTCAAGTCTCTGCCCCTTTGAATATTCAAAATTATAAGGTACAGGATTCTAGGCAAAAAATAAGCCATCCACTAACTTCCAACTTACCCACTTTAGAGTCTACTTGACCTTTTGCTGATATCCCTCAGGGTACTTCAGGAGGAATCGAATAATTATGAGGGCATTGGTACGGATTCTGTTAAGATCTTTAAAGAACGGCCTGAAAAATTACACAACTGGCTTGTCTGTTTCTCTTGCATTTCAGCACAGTTGGTGACTGCTTTGAGTCATTTGAGAAGGGTCTTCCTACAGAATCAAATACTAAGAACTACGATGAATAAAAGTTTGGGTGGTTATTATTGCCGTAATGAGTTACTGTTGTTATGATTGTGAAGGAGAAAATGCTCGGGATAAAAGAAGACACGGGCATTAGTGAGACAAATCTTTGTTCAAAGGATGGAGATGCTTGGCTGCTCCAACGTCTCCACCTCTTCTCCCCCACAGGCTGCAGTATTTTGCGCTGTTCAATATGTTTAAGATCCTTCTCGGAAGCAACAGCAACAACAAAATCAATCTTGAATTTTACTGCCAACAAACCCGGTGCACTACAGCGGTGGTTGACCATTTGTCTAGTGGCGCCTCCGGTCCCGGAGGACATCCTGCTTGCTAAAGCGGAGGGGCAGGGAAAGAGGACGGCCCTGGAGGAGATGGGCGGACGCAGTGGCTGCAACCGCAGGCTCAACCCTAAGAACAATGGTGAGGCTGGTGCAGGACCAGGCACTGTTTCTTCCTATTGTACTGTGAGTCAGCACCTACTCGACAACGACAAAAACAACCGTCCCTTTTCAGCACCAACACATCGTTCTGTGAGTAAAGTCTTTTGCAAACACCCAGGGTAGCTTTCAGCCACCTTCTTTTTTTTTAGAGGAAGAGCCTGAGAGTGAAATAGTTAAGTCACAGATGAGTCAAAGTCAGTCTTCAAAGTTTACCTTCCTCTTATTAAAAATAAGCAGGAATCCCTGAGGCTCTTTTGCTTCCAACTTATAGAAATCTAAGCATCAGCATATATAACCTTCTGGGGGAACAGCACTAAGTAGATTAAGCTGCCACATCATCTGCGATTGATTTAAACTATTTGGGGCTCTATTATCAAATCAACACAATTTTGTGTAAACGCCTTGTGGAAAAATGTCCTTTCAATGGATTTGCTAAAGCAAAAGCTTCACTTGAATTGCAAAGCAATGAACTTTTATTTTATGAAGAAGATGCTAAGAAAGAGATTTTAAATCTCTCGGTTATGGATTTAAAAAAAATAAGATTAACCCTTGAACATGCCTAGGTTATTGCAACCAGTACTCCAAGGGTCTTCCCAGGCCCTCCGGGTCTCTGTTTGCCCAGACCTCTTGGGACCTTTCAGGTCAGGCAACTTCTGTGGATACAGCAGGACAGCTGGTGGGGAGTTCAGCCTCTCAGTGTGCAAGTCCTGGCCACTTGTAGGTCCCCCTTCAGGGAACCTGTGACACTAAGAAACTTTGCCTTAGTTAATGCCTATGTCTTCTTCCTCCCCATATAATTTTTACTTTCACAATAAAAATAATAGTAACTAATTTGGCAGTAACAATAATAACCACACAAATTTTCACTATTCCTGGTAATGATGCTTTACTGTGATGGTAGTCCACTTGGCTGGCAAAGTAGAGGTACCCCTCTACGATAAAGAGAAAGGCCTTCAATCAGTTCTATTGATACAATGGCCTCAAGTATAGGAAGGATGGTGAGGAGGGCGAAGGATGGGTCAGCGCTCCCTCTGTTGTGCCTACAGAGAGACGCGATGGGTTGGAAGAGACTGTATGACACCTTTCCACAACAATTTACTACTATGTGTGAAAAACATGACATTGACAATCTCCTATAGCCCCTGAAAACAATGGTTACATAAGTCTCTGGCACGAACTCTGTTTTACCATGAGAAATTGAGGTCCATGAAGTGGGAACACCTTGTCCAAGGTTACTGGTCTAGCAAATGACTGAGCTGGGTCTGAGGCTATGGGACTCCAGAGCCTTACTTTTAACTGCTAGATGTTTTATTTCGAATAGTTTTGCTCTCTTTCTCATTTAGATATTAAGCTCTTTCTTACATTGTGAAGGCAGCCCTGGGAGCACAATGGGTTAAGCACTTGGGCGCTCTCCAAAAGGTTGGTGGTTTGAACCCACCAGCCACTCCATGGGATGAAGTAGTCTGCTTCCATGAAGATTTACAGCCTTAGGAACCTGGTGGGGCAGTTCAGCTATGTCCTACAGGGTGATGGTGAGCGGGAGTTGAAGGCCTATTAGACACATTTCTGATGTCAGATAGCAAGAATTAAAGGAGTTTCTCTTTGCTCTCTGGCATAAGGCTTTCTGCTTCTGTTTGGAGGTCAATCTCCGCATAACTTCAGAGTCCTCGCTATCAATACCACCTATTACTGTTGGGTTAACTCTGACTCATGACTCCCACGTTTGTGCCAGAGTAGAAATGTGTCTCATGGGATTTTCAATGGCTGACTTTTGGGAGGCAGAACAGTAGGCCTGTCTTCTGAGGCAGCCTTGGGGAGACTCAAGTCTCCAACCTTTATGTTAACAGATGAATGGATTACCTCTCACCCAGGGATTCCCAGAATTGTATCACCTATGGATTCCCAGAATTTACTAAATACATGATTGTCCCAGCTTTCCTCTAATCTCTATCTATAGGACTGAATGCCCTGGGTGTGCCTGTCTGTGCCAAGTGCCTCTTCTGGACTCTGCTGGAGAAGATCTAAAGGCGGGCTGCTGAGAATGCAAAGAACCAAGTTCCCTGACATTACAGTGGCTTCTCAGATGGGGCCAAGGACATGATGCAACAGACTTCTTTTCCCTTGGCGCAGAGGGCAAGCTAGAACCTGCAATATTAAGGGTGCTGTATACAATGGCAGTCATATTAGAATAAAAACATGGTTTTCTGCTAAGGTGGCCGTGTTGACAAAGAGGTCCTTATGTGAGTGGATACATTCTAGAGGTCTGCTAGCAGCAGGCTGCACGTGGTTGTCTGGGGGAGGGGGGTGACGGAGGGGAAGGGGACATGGGTAGAGGAGAACCAACTGGAAAGGGATTCTAGGGAACTTTTCAGGATGATAAAAATGGTTTATGACTTCACTGGGGTTACACAGTACATGCATTTGTAAGAGCTTATCCAATGGTATCCTTAAAGTTGTGCATTTGTATTTCATGTAATTTATACCTTAATTTAAGACATTTAGAAATCAATAGAACTTTATGACTTCATTATTTAAGCCTAGATATATACTACTAGCATGGCATATCGATCTATTTTATAATTTATAATACATAATGACCCTGTAATGCAGAAAACCAGATTGAGAAACAAATAGTACTGAGAGAAAAGGATATTGGCTAGATAGTGCCCAATACATCCCTTGATCCTTCCTTGCTAGTCTTGCATGATGAGTTATTTTTATTGCCATGTGGTGTTAGACCGAGAGGCTGAGAAAGGCATAAGGTGTTTATCAACCAAATGCAATGGTGGATGAATCTACTTAATTCAACTTGTGAATTCTCAGAAAGGTGATTGTCCTGGACTTGACCAATGATATTCTCCCATAAAATTTTCTTCACCTTGTCTAAGCTTGCGCAAATCACCTAACCACACTATTAAGGCTCGTGTAAAACACACTAAGAATACCTGCCTCCGAATATTGTTACAGATAACAAAGTGCTTAGCTCCATGCCCAATCCCTAACAGCAATCAATACATGCTGTTACTGTTATGATGATGACCTTGTTGGCATGGAGATGGACTGTAGTGGTCCAGGAAGTAAGTTTGTACCCATAGAGCTCAGAGTGCCCTCTCTGGTGCTAAAGGGAAACCAGCAGGAGAAAATGTCCAACAAGGTGGGTTGTATTTGGAATGGTTGGGTTGGTGTCTTTTCAAAGATTAAGCCTCTTCTTTATTTTTCAACTCTCAACTCCATTAGCAAAGCAAGGCACACAGCTTGGAATAGGGATAGATGAACCTAGGCATAGTCATCTCCTAAAACATGCCTCATGCCCTTCAGAAATCAGCACTCTAGAAAGCCCACAAGGTCTGTGTGAGCGTTCACCCCTTCGATGTCACCAGGTGGACACTCAAGATTGCAGGCTGATTCGCCCCAAAGCCTTAAACGCTGGAGTTTCAATTATACTAAAAGTTAAAGAAAATAAACAAATAACCTAGCAGCAGCAGCAGCAGCAGTAATAAGAGCAATCACAAAACATCTCAGCTTCTCTGCAACGCAAGACTCACCTTCATACAGCCAGTCACTGAGGCCATTGTAAATGACTCCTTCCTTCCCAGTGGAAACCACGCGGATCACCTGCTTTCCGACTTGTGCACAGTAGTAGATGTTATTTTCAAAGATAAATATCTAAAAGACAATGGACACACACATAGTGGTTACGAAATAGGCTGGTTTCTAAAAATTGAAATCAGCAATGTGTTTTTCAGTTTCCTGCTTGGTCATTTGGTGGAACAAAAGCAGTCTTGGGATCATTTGGATTCAGTTACCAGAAATATACATTTTATTATGTATTAACCAGAGACAAACATGACATGGTTCATCCAATTTCTCATACCATGGCCAGGCAATGTACAGTCTGGTCCTTTTGGTTATTTTAACATCAAGTTGCATTTGGGGATTTTAAAAATCCTAATTTTCCTGGAAATTAACTGTGGTGGGCTGGAAAACTAGAAATCTGTTCTTAAGTCATCCAACATTTACTCATTCAGTTATTTCCTGAGCACTCATTGTGTGCCAGCTAGGAGGCAGCATGGTCCAACAGGGAGGTGCAGCTTAGCTACGTGCCTTTCCTCTACTGAGAGTCTGCTATAGAAGAGAGGCATCAGGCATGGAAACATAGAGCTCCAGAAACACTAACATAACTGCCTGTCTTAGACCAAGGGCAGACATGGAATTCCTGAGAAAGTAATTTTTAAGCCGAGACCTCAGTGATACGCAGGAGGCAGAAAGGGGATGAGCAATTATTCTACAGGTGAGGCAGCTTGAGGAAGGAGCAGAAGGCAGGAAGGCATCAGAGAAACAGGACATACTCCTTCTGTGGTGTACTCAAAGATGCCAAACGACAGGGTCAACATAGATGCCCGAGAGGCGGGGAGGTACCAGTCCCTGAGCAGTCTTTGGCATTGTGTTTGTGGCATGCAAAATCCAGAGGCACCTTGCAGAAGGATTTGGTGCGTTACTTCCAAAGAGTCAGTTATTGAAAACCCTCTAGAATATAGTTCTACTGAGACACACGTGGGGTCTCCATTAGTCACAGTTGACGCAATAGCAAGTGGTAGTGAAATGAGATCAGGACATCTTGACAAGTGATAGCTGGGGAGCCAGGTGAGCAGAATTGGGTCTTCAGTAGCAGAATCTAGCAACAAGTACAAACTTGGAAGGAAGACACATTGGGAACCTGGTGTGAGGTGGCGGTGAGAATGGCCTGGACCTAAATGTTGATGATGAAGATGGAAGGAGGTAGACTAACTAGGAAGGGAAAGAGGAAAATCCACTGGACATGGTGAACGTGTGAGAATTGTCAAAGATGGCGTCTCAAGTCCTCCTCTTGGACAACAGAGTGCTATTATTGATTCATTTGCCTAAGTTCAAGGACAATGAAAGATATTATAATCTGACCAGGTGCAAGTCACAGACTCTCCAGGGAGCGAAGGGTGGTCTAGTAGTTCTCAATTAATGATCTTGGAGCTTTAAAAAAAAAATTCCATTAGCCAGTCCAACATCCCACACCAGTTGAATAAGAATCTCTAGTTATGTGATCCAGACATTAGCAGTTTTTAAAAACTCTCCAGGTGATACCAGTGGGCAGACAAGTTTAAGAGCAGTGACTCAGGTAATATTGAAAGCCTCTTGAATTCTTAGTTAAGAGGCTACTGCAGGAAGATATTTTATGCTGTATAGGTGGTGGGATGAATATGAGCTTTTTTAAAATTGAAAATACACAAAAGCAGTTTCTCCAGATCCTTTTCCTAGAGAGATGGAACTAATGCTTTATTAAGTATTAGTTTTATGCTCAGGTCTTTGGCTCTTAAAACTAGCAATGGGTTTGGAAAACTTCCAGAAACAAGTATATATCCTAATTTAGTTTCAGTGGCTATTCTTATGAGTTTGCCTAAGGATAAGATGTATTACTAAATTTTAACTCCTTTTATGTTTTCAAAGCCTACAATGGATTTTTAAATCAAATCAGACTACAACCAATTAATATTTTACATAAGTAAAAATCTCTATGATAAGTTTTAAATCCTTTTTCACCTTGACTTCAATTATAATAGAAGAAAAATGATCAGAAATACTTTACAAAGAAGAGTGCATTTTACTCTGACGATATTTTACATTTTTCTTTGGACTTTCAGTTTAAGATACTTAAGTAAAAGTAGAATGTATCCAATTTTGCCTGTAGTTTTGTCATGGTAAATATTGGGAGAGAAGGCAAAACTAGGGTGCTTGCCTTGTCAAGGTCAAATATTGGGTTAAGCGATTGAATCTTTCACTGTGTGCTATGCACACACACCTGCCTCTGAAGCTTGCTGGTTCCTGCAGGAGTGCTTCACTTACAGGCATGGCAGGTAACGACTGGAGAAATCTATGCACAGTGTCCAGTCCTTCACCCTGGCCTTCTCTGCACTGTCTGCCTTTGCCCTGGCTTTAATCCAAAGGATAGTCTCCCTTCCCCTATGTTGTTCTGTTCCCCAATATATATCATCTAGCATGTTGTGTCTAGCTACCATCAAGCCAATTCCAATTCATGGTGACCACCAGAAATGAAACTAAACACAGTCTGGTTCATGCTCATTCTGTGACGAGGTTCAGATGAGATACTGTGATCCATATGGCCTTCATAGGTTAATTTTCAGGAATAAGTTGTCAGTTTTATCTTCCTAGCATGTATTAATGTGGACACTCTTCTGAAACCCATTCAGCTTCACAGCAACACTCAGGCCTCCACGGACACACAGGTGGTGACTGTGTAGGAGGTACCCTGGCCGGGATTTGAACTTATGTCTCCCCCATGGAATGTGAGAATTCTACTGAACCATCACTGCTTTATCCAAAACACCATTCATAGCATGCGCTGTTGTTACTCAAAGTCCAGAATGACTTTCTATTAACTACAAAAGAGAGTTTATATTTCTCAGCCTGAACTCCTCAGCTCTCTTGGTCAGACTGTCTGCCCAGCTCTCACTTGCTCAGTATCGACTGGAGTCTGGTGCCAGGATTCCAGGACTACGAGGGCACAGTCACACTCTTTTAAAAGAGCTCATAGTTATGAATGAAAATCTAGACTCCACACCTCCATCCACACCAGGTCTTAAGAGAAAGCTGCCATCTCTACCCCCTTCCTGAGCAACAACACTCAGGGCAGCTGCCTCACATGTCTACACTGTTTCTTTTCTGTCATCTGTGATAAGAGTAGATCTAACCTTAGGGTGGATATGAAGTGGGACTGAGTTAATGAATTCAAAGCACTTAGAATAGTGTCCAGCAAAAAGCAAGTTTCTGATACATGTATCTGTTGTTACTACCATAATCATAAAAATGATTCTTTCTGTCGGGGTTAGAAGTGGCTTCATGAGGGAGGTGACACAGGTCCTAAACTATAAAGTATACGTGTGATCTTTTCAGAGTCTAAACAGTGGCTACGGGAATTCCAGGGACATTACAAAGTATAAAAGAAATTCAGAGAGGCCTGAACGCATATGGAATGTTGACACTGGCTAACGACCCTGGCTGGTATGGACATGTGTCATCTAATAAATCACTTAGTGAGTGTTTCATTTTTTCAGAATATTTACTGATGGTAAATATTCACCCAAAACAAACAAACAACACTACACAAACCAACACAAACAAAACCTCCAAACAGTGTGACACAGCCTTGTAAGATGAAATCATATAGTAGATAGTCTTTTTTTTTAATTGGATTCTTTCACTTTGCAGATTTTCAAGATTCATTGATGTGTTAGCCTATATCGATACATTTTTTTCCTTTTTAATTCTGGATAATATTCCATTATAAAGCTATACTGTAAAAAATCCATTCATTAGTTGATGAAGATTTTGAATTTTTCCATTCTTGAGATATTATGAGCAATGTTAACATGACAACTCATGCACAAGTCTTTGGGTGCACATAAGTTCCTAATTATTTTGGAACGGCTAGGAGAGAAATTGCTGGGGTCATATGATAATGCTATGCTTAACTTTTCGAGAAATGGTCAGAATGTTTTCCACAATGGTTTATAAACCCATCAGCACTGTGTGAGCATTCTAAATTATCCACATCCTTACCAATACTTGTCTTTTTTATTGTAGCCATCCTAATGATTGTGATGTGGTATCTAATAATATCATAGTGGTGGCTAATAATATCATATTTTCATGTACTTACTGGCCATTTGTAAATATATACTTTGAAATGTTTACTCAAATCCTTTCCCCATTATTAAAATTGGGTTATTTGTCTCTTATCGTTCAGGTGTTGTTTATTTTTGTATTTTCTGGGTACTAGTCCCTTATCAGGTATATGACTTACAATCTCCCATTTGATGGATTATCTTTTCAATTTCTTAACAATGTCCTTCGAAGGACAAAATATTTTAATTTTATTTTACATTATGTTTTTTCTTTTGTTACTATAATTTTGAGCCAAATATAGATGTTCATTGCCAAATTCAACACCAGGGAGATTTAGCCTTTAAAAGAAGAGTTTTATGATTTTAGAGGATATACATGAAGTCCTTGATCTACTTTGAGTTAATTCCTTTTCATTAACTCACTTAAACTTTAAAATGGTCCTATGGGGTAAGTACTACTATTCTTCTTTTGTCACAGAAGACACTGAAGCACAGAAATGGTAGCTAGTGAACCAACAGCTAGCTATCCAATAGTTGAGTGGGATTGAAGCACGGGTAAGTAACTTGTCCAATAATAGAAGGAGTTACACCTGAAACGGTTGCATTCTGGTTCCAGAGTGAATGTTTTAAGCAATCATGCTATGTTGTCCCTTCTTTTTCCTTGTAAAAATGTATTGTGGGTGATAAATAGGATACATAAGTAGATAGATAGATAGATAGATAGATAGATAGATAGATAGATAGATAGGGGTCTTGGTGGTATGATCATGAAAGCACTCAGCTGACAATCAAAAGAATGGTAGTCTAAACCCACCCGCCACTCTGCAGGGGAAAGATGCAGCAATAGGCTTCTGTGGCAATGGAAGGCTTGTTTTTCTGGTTGGCTACGTATCTATCATTGTGATTTTAATTTATGTTATTCTGATAGCTAACAATATATACATGAATACATTCACATATACAAAGAGTTTGTGGGGAATTCTCATTATA